GGGGGTGGGGGGGGGGTGTTAAGAAAATGGCGTGGGCCAGAAATTTTCTCCTACCTTTTAACTTACTTAAGAGCTTTGTTCCCAGACATAGCAGCCATAGTGGAGACTTCAGTTAGATAAGAATACACAAAAACTTTACACTGGTGAGGCTGACTTGATAGCTTGTGATGACATGAAAAGAAATCCCTTCTAACTGGACCTGCAGTCCAGGCAATGCAGCTAAAGCTTTGACTACAGATAACCTCACTTAGCATTGTTATCTGTAACGAAAAGCAAATAGAAAAGTATTCCACCATACATCCAAAGTTACCTAGGACCTACAAAGAAAGCGCCTTCTCACAGGAAAAGCTTTTTAACCAATCACAAACTCCCTCTTAAATAACAATTTACTTGAAATATTTTAAAACCAACATTTTTAAAACCAGCTTCTGAAAATAATATACATGCAAACATACACTTGGTGTTTGACATTGCCTGCTTAATCTGTGTACACTGTAATCTGTCCAAATACCACTTACTAACAACTGCCTTACTGCATTAGAAACAGTGAGATTGCATTCACAGTAGATGCAAGTTAACTGCCCATTTTCACCCATGGAATTGAACTTAGCAATACCTTTAAAATGATGCCTTTTATTTTAAAAATAACTTAGCTAGATTTTAAGTAATTTAGCACTATCCATGCATGGTCATTCTTGCTAATCGTAAAAATATTATTCAACAGAAGTATGTGCATTACCACAAATACAGACTTTTTTGAGGTACAGAAACCCTATCTCAACAGGCTTTTCCATTTTGCGCTTTTTTTTGGTAAGTGTACACTCAAAATCCCTTTGTAAACAAACATTTAAAACCTGAATTGCATGATCAAGAGACAGAAATCTTGTTTGTCCCATTTATGGTTCTTGTTTACTACAATTTGTTGAGGGTTTTTCCTAAGCTTACTTAATACCAAGTCTTGGACCCCTCCTTTTCAAAGGAGGATCTAAATGATGATGAGACATCAGGATGAGCTGCAGCTACCTCTTTTTCCTCCAGCAGAGAGGATGGATCAATTTCTGGGTAAGTTTTCAGCCCCTCCTCTCTCAAATTCAAGCAGTCCTGCATGGGAGGCAAATCTGCCCTTTTGAACAGCTTGCAGGATCAGGGCATATATGTCCCCTTATCTGACTGGGAGGGATGGGAAGATCTGCAGCTCCTGTCTTAGCTTCATGTGAAATTATTAGTCAGCTTACTGCAAATACTTCAACAAGTCTTCCAAAGACAAATTCATACTACTGTTTCTTGAGTTTAAGGAAGAAACTAAATAAAAATCTTACAGGAACGAAATTATGCCATACATCAGAAAGAAGCAGTACAAAGTACCCACATTTTTTGTTGCTCTGCCCTGCAGCTTTAAGAATGGGCAGATACATCCCGGAATACTTAAATACTTCAGCATAAGCAGGGCAAAACAAACAAACAAGTTCCAGACCACTGGTTAATTGTAGTACATACATTAAGCCCTTTCACAAATGAAATTGTGCTGTAGTCAAGACCATTTTGGAAATGGGGAAAAAAAAATACTAAACCAAAGGGGAAAAATAATGACTCTAAATGGGGCAAAATAGCAGATCTATTGGAAACATGACAAAAACAGGATGTTAAGGAAAAAAATTAAGTGGAGTCAACAAGGTTACACATAAGTAACACCTTAACATTAAAAGAAATCTATTTTCCATTTTGACCTGGAAACCTCTTCCATTAATTACTAAAATCTATTTACACAGCAACTAGATAAAATCAATCTGATTGCTCACACTGGTTTTGGCTCACTTTCTATGGGCTCTGAGCATTCAACAGACTGGCTCTAAAGAAGTCGACATTTAGCTGCTCTGAGTTTCTGTGTTTTGCCACCTACAACACTATCCTAGCCATGATTTCTGGTATGCAAGCTCTTCTGTACTGGATATGCAGCATTTGGTTCCTGGCTCTGTCCCCTTGCCCCCAGCAGAGACATGTATGGAGGCCATGCTTCCTTTCAACCATATATGGAGGCAAAGCATCTCTACTGGTATCTCTACTGAGCTTGTTATGAGGGGTTCTGACAGGCCCCATGGCTGAGCTCTCTTACATTAAACAGACCAAGAGCACAGTATGGCAAAAGTAGAAAAGAAAGACAAACTGAGAAAAGTAGAGGGAGGACAGACAGTCCTTGGAGAACTGGGAGAGACACACACCTTCTCCTACACTTATTCCCATTCATCCTAGGAGCATCAGATAGCTTCCAAAAGAAGTGACAGCAATACATTTTACACCACACTGATATTAATACATTATTTTTCTTCCAAAGTGGGATTGCTCCACGTACAAGATCAGTAAAATTTGTACGTGTCAGTTCAGCAAAGATACAGACACAAATATGGAAGATTTGTATTCTGTCTTGGAGAACACCTCCTGTTAGGTAGGCAGACTCTTGCACAACAGAGGATAAAATCTACCGGGATCAGTTGTGCTATGGCTGGAGGTGAGCACAGAAGAAAAATTTCTGAGACTCAGGTGTGTGCTTGGCTTTAATTTCAGTAAACAGAAACTGCAGAAATAAGCAGAGTCTGTTTAATTAAAAACTATCTCAACCAGGTGACTTCTTTTTTTTTCTTCTATCTTGGACAGCTGAACTCTATCAATTTATTATTATGATCTTACCAAACTTGTGCCACAAGTCAGAGTTGCATTTTCTATGCAGTGATTCTGAGACTAATAAAAGACGCATACTTCTCCCCCATATTTAACCAGATCTAAATTAGCTTTTATGTGAAGCTCCATCTACCTCGGTGTATAGACATCAAAGAATCATATTCATGTTCTTACAGCATAGCCTGTCCCAGTCTTGAGTGTATTTTCAACTATGGTTCTCTGGCAGCAGCTTGTCATTTAGTTAAAACAATCAAGCTCTCATCAGAGGACAGAAAATTGCTCAAGGCTTGCAAGGCACCCAAAACCAAGCCTGGTTTAATTCTGATTCTAGCCACGCCACTCATGGTTTTATCTGGTGGTCTGACCTCTGCTTTGAAGGGAACCTCCGCTGCGTGCTGGTACGGAGCGGTGATGATAGTGAACAGCAGCGATGCATCTCCCTCTCTAATCTTGGCTGGCAAAGGCTGCTGGCTTCCAGTACTTACTTGAAGGGCTTTTCCCCGGTGTGTGTCCGGATGTGATTGTTGAGCGTTGTGGCACCAGCAAAGGCACGACCACAGTAGCCGCACTTGAAAGGCCTGTCGCTGGAGTGCGTAACTACGTGGTTCCTCAGCTCCGAAGGTTGGGAGAAAGACTGGGAGCAGTGACCACACTGGTAGGGCCTGCAATGGGAAAGAGAAACACCGTGCCATCAGTGCTTTCTATTGGCATGACCAGGAAGCCATATGGGCAGGAACATCTGGTTTTCACAGTAATTTCCAGAGAGAACTGCAGGTGCACTTCTCTGGGGCTTTCTTGGGAGACACATACACAAAACTTCATGACCTCTTTAGCAAATGTGAAATGCTTGTGCAGGAATTGACTGAGAGTCTATGGGCATCATGCCCCACAAAACATATTCCAGCAAGCTAGTGAGCCTGCACTACACATCATATGCCTGCCTTAGTTCTCCCAAACTCAGTGTGGTACTCCTTAGTCACAAAAAAAACCTCCTCACACATCAGAGCTAAGAGACTCATGAAATCCTCTGTCTGTTGGTGCCAGCTACAGTCTTACCTATAAATGCATGTCTGATTGTTATACCTATAACCTAGGTGGATTCTGTGACTGTTCACAATTAAATCCTTTATACTGCTTTGGAGGAATCTAGGTTTTTTGAGATCACCATTTTCAATGAGAGGCATTGGAAAAAATAACCACCATGTTACAATTGCCTTTCTATTTTCTTACTGCTGTTGAAAATATTTATATTTAATTACCATGTTTCTCCCATCCAGATTGAAAATGCCTTTTCTGTGATCTTGAAATGAAACCCAGAACTTAGGTTTTTCAGTGCCACAGTTCGTTAAAAACAAACATAACAAGCAAACAAAACTGACCGATATGTTACAAATCAGAATCATAACAATCAGACTGCAAACACAGAAAGAAAAGGATACAAGACAGCAAGGTGAGACAGGACTGCTGAAATGCAAATACCATTGCTAACTAAAATAAAATGTGAAGAAACAATGCCTATATATTTCTGTTTGGTAAAAGTGATTTAATATCAACATTCTACAGCACTTTTTCCTTCTCACATTTGATTTAAGTTAGTGACAGAGTCCTACATGCTCATCAGACTTTTTGTTAAGAAAATTAAGAATTTTTCTGGAGGGATATTAATGATTTTTACCCTGCACAACATTTTAAGGCACAGCTCTTGATGTCTATGTTTCTAGAGCCAATGGCCAAGACCAACTTAATTGCTCTCTCTTTAATAAATGTGTATGTTTAAATGGCTAGAAACCAAAACTAAAGGGAGGGAGACAATGGTGACCAAGCATGTACAATTCAATTAAGTGCAAAATAAAGTGAACTATCTCATTTGTCAAGTGAACTGCTTAATTGTGGCTACTTGCATCACTGAACACAAATACTATTATTTTACAGTGCTTCAGAGCACTGAACCCTGATTGTAGAATTTTTTAGCTTGATTAATAGCTCAGTATTGGTCAATAACTCAATAGCTTACAATTTTAATTACTTACATTTGAAAATCTAACTGCTCTCCAACAAGTTTGTAAGAAATATATAAAAGCGGTGGAAAGGTTACTTAACCTAGATGATGTGACCCTTAAAAAAACCCATGAATATATGTAAAATAATATTTTAAGAAACGAATAAGTACTGAGTATCTGTTTCTCTTATTGGAAGACAAGTAGTAGCATGCCCAGTCTTCTCCTTTCTTGAAGTGCATGGCTAATTTGCACAGAAAATAGTATCAAACTTGACATGAAAGTTTAAGTGCTGGTAAAACAAAGATGATTTGTGAATGCAGACTTATTTGTTCGGGTCTTTTCAAATCAAATATTTTTAAGCAAAAAGAACACATTAAGATATTCTGTATCCAAGAAACATTGATTTTTTTAATAGTGAAAGGGACCATTAACATCTATTAGCCTCTGGTTATCTATTTTTAACAGCTACCACAACAAATGATACAACACTACATAAAACCAATTAATCTTTTATTTTTTTAACAGTCAATGTGATTAATTTCATACAGTGTAAAATCACACCATAACTTGTCTGTAGTCAAAATTCCAAACCAGTTATAACTGAACATTGTGATGCAAAGTAAAATATTTTTACCCCCTACATTGGCTTGAAACAAATTTCTTGTTTACAAAGGATATTAGTATATTTACTCAGAATGCATTTCAATGGCTGATGCTGAAGAAAAAAAGCCCTTTAAAAAAATCACATCTTGTTACATCACTTTGACTGTATTTCTTCCATTCATTGATATCTTGGAAGAACAACTATTAAAGAAGTTACCCTCCTCTTTGCAGGGGATGCATTTCTCCAGTTTATACACAGGTGATTCTGATTAATACTGAAATGGGCAGAATAAGTAATTTTTTCAAGCTAGATACATGGCATATATTAAACAAAGCTCATTTTAAAAAGAAAGCCTATAAATGCACTGAAATACTATAACAGTTTTAAAATGCTGTATTTAATTTACATAATTGCAGATTCAAATATGCCAAATTTTGACAACTTTTGGATACTACGATTTTTTCCAAGAGCAAAAAAAAGTCATTCAGTAAGTATAAAAGTTATCATTTTGTTCTCTGGTAACCATTTTACTCTGCTCAGAAATTTTTCTTGGCAGAAAATAAAATCAATGTGTTGTTTTTACAAAAAAAATGAAAGCGCTGCGGAAGGACTGGACAGGAGCAACGCTTGGTTCAGTGAGTGCATTGACACAGGCAGAGCAGGCCTGTCTTTGATGTAGCAGTTATGCCTTCTCCCATCACTTTGGTCTGCAATGGGACAACGAATTAAGATGGTGACCTCTTTATAGCAGAGGTTTGCAGGCAGAAGGAGCAGGGACATATTGACAAAAATGGTGGTCCTCATAGGCTGTATTTTCAAAGATGTGCTGCTAGACTGAATGCAGTCCCAGCCAAGAAAAACTCATTTCCACTGGAATAACCAAGAACATATTGTACCTTCTTGAGCTTCAAGGTATCCATGTGAATATAAGCATAGCTGTGTCACAGGACAGACGTGTATTGATGCTCCAGAAAATTAATGTTTAAACAACATGGATGTCAGTCACTTCATATGTGAAAGCCTACATAACTAAAATATTCCTTTGCAGATGTACAGGCAGATTTGCAAGCATGAAAGTAATCAGTTTGATGAAACAGGTGTACCAGGGCCTCAAAGCACAGTTCAGCTGACTATCTGAAGAAATATTTTTTTCTATAAGAATTTGTCTTCCAGCTACCATACACCAGAAACGACATAGTTTGGAATGTCTTCAACATTGTATTTTATACAAAGGATCTTGTAGGCCCTTCCAGACGTAAATCAAGCCTGATCAAAATCTTCTCATATAGAATTTTTAAATTACATTTAAGAACAGCTAAACTGATATATAGCAATGTGCAGATGAGAATGATGTGCTGACAGCCATCAAAAGCAGTTCTAATGTTTTTCACTAAACACCTAGCTACATATTTTTCTAGTTCTCTGTCTTCCTGTCTGAGCTTAAAGAAAGGAAATCTACTTACCTAGAAGCAAATTCTGCTGTTAGAAAAATTACACTGTTGCCATTAACTCCATGCACCATCAATCAGCTATCTAGGTTTACTAACATATAGAGTGCACCAGCTTTTTCTACAGACCCTAATCTTACAGTCCCTGACTATATGGTGGCCCATTATAGGAACACAGGCCATTTAAATGAAATTCAGAAAGGAGTAACTGTAATCTAATAGTTTTCGGGTTTTGAAGTTATTTAGATTTTGAGCTTTTCCAAGTTTTTCAAGTTACATATTCAAAATGAAACCAGACAAGAATACTTTTTGCTCCCCAATTTAGACAATCTCTTGAATGATTTTGATGTTTGGTGATGTCTTTTCCCATGTTACAATCTTCTCACTTTTGTGGCTGATTTTTTCTAGGTGAAACTCCATCATATAAAGGACTAGTACAAAACGCATGTTCCCCTACGAGGCTTATTGAACCTCACCAAAGCTCATGCTTAGTGCAGGGGATGGAGATCCCTTGACATGCACAAAGCATGTTAAGGGATAATAATAGAAAAATCCGTATCTTTACACCTGGAATAGCTGCTGACAGACAACTGTGCATTTAGATTGATTCTTTTTAGATTTTCATTTTGCAAAAGTGACATAGCCTTTAATTGTTTATCTTGTACTATTCCTCTGCTAGAACAATATACTTTCCAACTCCTGACTCCTAAGTACATCTAGGCAATATAAACTTATTTTCTACATCGCAAATAATACATGGTCTGAACTATCAGAATCCTGAAAAATCTTGTAATTATTTTCCACTGAATTTTCAAATTGTTTCCTTTATGTTGAACAGGTTTCTAGTGAGGCATCTTCAGAAGTGAATTTGCTGTTTTCAAGGGGGATGTGGAATCCCAGCGCAACCCTTAGAAGAGGAATTGCTTGTGATGGTGAGCTCCTGAATACCTTAACACTATCATTAAAACACTGTCAGATCAGGGAGACAGAATAGCACATTGCTGTAATTCTTTCTCCTTAGAAGAAGTTAGAAAAGCACCAGCTGAAAGAAGAGAGACTGACATGTGGCTGAAAGTGCTTCTCCTTGTTGAGGACTAAGAAGTAAAAAATCAACTTGATTGATGTCAGGGTCTCAAAGTGTGGGACACAGGGCTCCACTGAACCCAGGGCAGGGTTTCACGGCGTGATAGGGAGAAGGCTGGTCACACCACAGCCCCTGCAAAAAAGTGAAAGCAGGGCACGTTGGAATGGGGACCAGCACCAGCTTTCAGGGCCAGGCCTTTGTACAACACACAGCATTAAGAGCACAGCTGCAGTCAGAGGAGTTAGGTCACAGTTGTCCTAATGGAAAGGTATTTTGGAGGGATGCCACCTTCTAGCAAGTTGAACTGAGAGCGTGGAGAACAAAGTGACACCTAAGGATGCTGCTAGCTTGCACACAGAAGCATCCCTAGCATCAGCGTGGCCACGGGTGTGTTACATTCGCTGCCTCTGGACTCGACATCCCCTGCTGCCTTGGATTTCCCCTTAGGCAGCACGGCTACTGCCCCGAGCACTTCGGGCACCACGCAGCAGCAGCGATGGCTGAGCTGGACCCACTGGGAGTTCTGGGATCGCCTCTTACAAGTGTTTGTGGAGGAACTAGCAAAAGCAGAAAGTTAGCACACTTGAAGTGTTTTCAAACTTCTGAAGCTGTTAGGGAGAAGTGCCGCTCTGTGCACACTTTGTTCTTACTAACTATGAGTACTGGGAGTTTGCAAACCTTTGTAAAAAAATCATGCAGGAACAAGCATTAAATTCAGCATGATGTTTATGTTTTCTTTAATTGAGTAATATTCCGTAGCCTCTCTATAAACAGAAATAGACAACTCTTGCTCACAACATTTACTTTTTTTACGTCTGTTTTGGGAGATGTTTAAACTAATTAATGGACTGGGGGAGAACATCAAGGTCAAAGACACAGAACCTATAAAAAAAAAGATAAACACAAAATGGGCTGAGCCATGATCTTAGAGAAAAGACCTTATTAAATTCCCAGCTTCAAACTTCAAGGTCCTGCTTTTAAATACACCTCACAATTTAATATTGAGGTGCTACAGTGAAATGTGAGTACAATAATATCTTTTGAGTAAACAAGAATTGTGAGGGCCAGATAACACAATCTATCAGCCACAGATACACTTATAGAGTGGGTCTTCCCTCAAATTATCAGCTTAAATACATGGCAATCAATGAGAATATATATCACACAGATATACATATTGTATATGAAAATGTGCCACAGACAGCTCTTAGGAACTGCAGCTATCTGCCTTCCCTCAATACCAATACATCCTGAATCTGGTGATCATAGTGAGAAAGAAGAAAGATGTCATTAAAAGAAACTGCGCCATTATCAGAAAAGTGGTTGCAGTTAAAAAAAATAAGATTAAAATATTGCTCTAAAAACAATTCACTCTGATCAAAGGCTTTTGGTTACCCCTTTCTGAAGCCCCCCAAATAGCATTGTTGGGAACTTCTGCAGCAGGGGAAAGAAAAAAAAAAAAACAAAACAAAAAAAACAGAAGAGAAAATAGATTTCTGACTCCTGCTTCAAAAAAATAGTTACTCAAACTGCTTCTGTCTGGGCAAGGCTTAAAAAAAGTCCCAAAGACTGAGAAAGTCCCAGAATTCAAATCTTGATGGTTTTAAATATTCACCTCCTACCCCACTCCAACCCCAATTACCATTCAATTTGAAGAGAAGCCCTACAAAATATAACAAGCTAAAAAAACCTCACTGGAAAGGGAGAAGTAAATTATAAGTAAATCAGTAAATAATTTAAAATTAATTTTATTTTGAATTAAAATCCTAATCTTAATCAAAAATAACAAACACAGTAGATGATTTTAATAATTCTCCCTATTTTGGATTTATCTTTTTTTAAAATTATTTTTATTTATTAAATCATCTGCCTGTTAAATAGGACCATTTCTTTCTTACTGCCTAACAGAATGAAGTATATTTTTGGGCTTTTTTAATGTCTGCTCTCATACAGGTGTTTTCTGAATCTAAGTGGCTTGAAAGCAATTTCTTTTTTTTTTAATTTCTCAAGCCCCAAGTAGTCTGCTTTTCTCAAATTTCAGTCCATGAATTGGATTCCTTTATAGATTCAAAGGCGTTTTCCCTGCACCTCTTGCTGTAGGTAATCAGCATTGTTGAAAAACAAATACCAAGCCAGAACAGATAGTCTAAAGTAATTTCCTAGAGAAGACAGGCCCTGCTGCTTCAGTCACATCAAAGATACAGTGGCTGGTGTGCTCACAAATTGCTGACAATAAATGGGGAGCTGTTTATCAGCCAGAGCAGTGCTGCAGATATCGTTGAGAAAATACAAACCAGAGAGTTGCACCCAGTACTTCAGGCTGGCAAGCAGGTATTCCTTCACAAATCATACCCTATTTTCTTGTCTCCAGGAAATCTTGTACAGCACTTTAGGAATTTTTCATCTGGAGAAATGCAATATGTTTAAGAAACCAAAGACCACTCTTTTTCAGCCACTGTATCACTAAATAGCTGATCTACTGGTACCTGCTAAAAGACAAAAATCTGCCTGTGATATAAGCTCAACCTGTAATGATTTCTAACCAGGGATATGAGAACCCAGATCCTAGGCAGTTATGATCTGCAGTAACTGTTCTGGTAATTTCAAACACTGAATGAATTGCAGTGAGCTTAAACAGATTCATGTGACTGACGTCCCCCATAATGCTCTGAAGACAACCTATTGGGAAATGCTTTTACAGCAGTTATGTTGATGGCACACCTCACGGGAACAAAGGCGGCATTACAAAACTAGCCTCCACAAGGAGTCTGCATAATTTATTTAATGAAAACATAGAAATGTAAGCCATTTTTCAGTACAGGGGGAACACAGGTGTCACAGAACAGAGCACTGCATTATCTAGTATTTATGCAACAGATTGATCCTAAGTGTATATTGCAAGTTCATTTAGCTTTTATGCTCTCTATATAACAAAAGAGAAAAAGTTTCTTAAAAGGATTCATAAAACCCAACAAGCCAAAGAGGAAATCAGCTAAATTAGCCAGTATCAATATTGAGAAAAAGGCGTTAGCTGTTAAGTTTTGAATCTTCCTGAAAGCTTCTGGGATTCAACACTTACAACTCAGAGGCTTCACTTACCTCCTCTCCACCCCAATCATCCCCAAATCTGCTGAGTCCTTTCTCTAATTACCCTTTGCTCTCTTTGCTCCTGGGGACCCTACTTGTCTTCTGATCTAGATAATTTTCCTACTATGCTGTAGGGTATTCTGAGCTAAAAATGCTCTACGCTTTCTTGTTGGAGTTATTCTGCATTGACAATTCAGGTAAGCACGGGAGAGAAGAAACAGTAACACATCATGAATCAGCAACCTACTAATGAGGGTGTTCACTTCTAATGGGGAAGACTTAAAACGCAGCCTGTGTTTCAGGCAATACTTAACACAAGATACTTAGGAGAAAATAAATAAAAATAAATGAAACTAAATAAAAATTAAAAAAAAAAAAAATCTCTCACCTCCAAGATGACAGACCTAATTGTAGGATAGACTTATCCTAATTTCTTCTCTCTGGCAAAAAGAAAATTTAACTATCCCTTACAGCGCAGAATAGCTCCATTAGGGGAGACTCTTCTTGCATTAACTGTTATCTGCAGCTTGGTTCTTCATAAAGGAAGACACAGGTTCAAGTGAAGGAAAGGATGAAATCCAGGTGTCATACCTGGTTGGATGCATCACAGAAAAAGTATGTAGGGGCCCCTCACAACATATCTCTTTTAGACTCCCTGATGCAGCATTTAATGCTTTACAGTATGCTTAGGATGCTTTAATGATGGAAACGTAAGAATCCGTGAAACTTAGCAGAGCAGACCTTTTGGGACCTACATTCTACATTGTGGCACTTAAATTGGCCGTTGTGTCTTACAGCTTCCTTAACATGGCATTTGTTTCTGCTAAGGCCAGCATAAAATTCAGAAAATATTTAAAAGGCTTGTTTGCATTCACATTATCAACTCTTTAAATTCTATGAAGATTTGCATGGAATCCAGTTTGCGCCTAACATGCTTGACATTACTTCCTAGAAAACTGGATTTATACTCCAGTATCTCCACACCCACAGAATCACACAAGCACATGTGTACACGTAGATAACCACATACACAAAGAGACATAGACATGCATACAAACACATGCACAGACTCACTGATGACTATTTTTTGGTAGTGTTTTGGTCAAATGTAATTCACAATTAAATGCTGCTTTTAGAAAAACCTTCCAGGGACTCAGCTGTTCTGCTCAAACCTTCTTCACAGCTGAAGAAAAGACAAAACATGGGCAGCCTTTTTTATTGAATTAATTTGATTTTTGTCTTTTGTCCTGCTAGCTATCAAAATTGTCAAATAAACCAGCTTTGATTCATAAATAATGGTTCCATTATATTTACTGTGCCACCGGTCAGAGTACCTGAAATTTTAATTCACTTGTTCAGCTAAATTTCATCCTCAGTTCACGGCCATAAAATTCTGTATTGACAAACTTTCAAACCAACTTTGACTCTGAGGTATCTAGTCAACATTTTTCTTCTGTGTGGATATTAGTTTATTGAATAAGTGGCATCTGTTTTCCTCCACATCACTAGTGGAGTAGGTATTTCCTTTTGACAGCTTTGCACGATTTATGGGTTTGCATGCTCTGAAGAAAAATAGTACTAAGCAAAAAATTCCAATTCATTACCTCTTAGTACTTAATTAAGTTCATACACATTGCACACTATAGGTGAACCCTGAAATGACTGTGACAGCCACTGAGCAGCAAGTTAGATTATCTTTGGAAGACAGAGAGACTTTTAATTATCTTGACCTCATTTTTCCATCTATGATATTCATAAATTTTCCTTCTATTTTGTTGCCTCCATCAGATGTACCAAACCATTCTGAAAACAAGATTAAATCCTTAGCTATTTCCTTTTATCTGTACATTTAGGCACCAAATGTTTTTACAAATAGTGAAGTCAAGCAATGTTTTTTATCGGCTTACTTCACGCAGCTGCAGATGAATTATGTTGTACAGGCTCCTCCTAATAATGGTTTGGTTTTGGAAATGATAACAGCTTGATAAAAGAAGAAAGCAGTGGATCTGGCTATCAGTAGATACAGAAATAAAGAGAGCCTGGGCTTTACCTGTCAGGGTTCTGCGTACACACATGCATCTGTAAGAGGATCCGCTGGGTGAAAGTCTTAAAGCATTGCCCACATTTCCAAAGATGCCAGTCACTGAACTCAGAATTTAGTTGGCTTGTTGAAGTTGGGCTTGCAAGAACTCGTTGGTTTTTGACACTGATCTGGTTAAATCCTGACTCGATGGACCCAGACTTATCCAGGAGAGAAAAATTTCTGCTACACGGAGTCTGTGGAAATACTATGGATCGCTGTGGAGTGGCAGGGGATAGTTTGCTACTTTTATTAAATGGCTGTAGGGTGTCTTGTCTGGACATGGCCTCCATTACAGTCGAAGGGACATTCACTGGGAGAAAACAAGAAAAGTGAATAAGATCCTTTTTATGCCTTTTAAAAACTAATACAGTGTTGGGAGACACCAAAAAAATACCAACATCCATTTTCTTGACACTAGAATTAAACAACTTTATTTTAACAATGCACAAAAGAATGGCCTTGAATGAAACAGTGATCTGAATGGATGATGCTGTTTCTGTGACACTGAAATGAAAACTTATGCAAAGGGGTGTCTGAGACTGAAAGGACTCAGAGAAGACTGACTGTGATATACATTTATTGCACAATGGGATTGTTTTCTGAAAGAAAATGCTGCTGTGCTTCTGATATCCTGACTCTGCATGTTGCAGTCAGAATGTCCAATTCTATATCACAGACAAGCATGAATTTTGAGAGCTTGGGGGAAAAAATCCTTGCCTGGACACTCCTTGAGATACAACAGGGCTTAATATCTACTGCAGCAATAGTTCCCTTATCTTCTTGAAGAGCAGCCACTAAGGATATTATACTATTAGATCTCACAAACAGTCACACAGCCAATACAGTAGTACCAAGCCAGTGACTTCACCATGGCTCATATGATTAAGGCTAACAGCAGTTGGATCACCACAAGACAATGCAAAGTATAAGCAGAGGTATCTTTGTGCATCAATTTCTCACCTACAAAATAAGAACAAAACCTGTTTCTAGTCCCATGAAAGTCTTATGATCATCAATTAACTATATCTTATGAGGCACTCCAATATTTCAGCAACAAGTGCAATATGCTGTTCTCACAAAGAAGTGATTTAGTGCTGAATTTGGATGTTGCACGATAAGGAAGGCAGGAGGTCAAACATATAGAAGAAATTTGAACAGCTGCCTCACTCCCTGAGTACCATCTAGATTATGAAGTGAATGAAGCAAGGGTCCTATGGAAAAATGGGGTCAGCACCACAATGCAAAAAGAAGCAAAATTTAGGCCACCTGGGCCCAGTACCTTCTCATGCTTTCTAATTTTGGCATGCTCAACCTCATGAGATAATATTTTAATGGAGATTTTTTTAATTAAATATGTTGTATGCATATGTCTACGTCTACATATATTCACACATTTAGTTATTGTCACAAAGTGTTTACATGTATATAGCCACACGTAGGTATGTAGCACCTACTAAACAGGTGATTAGAAATTGCAACTCTGTTTAAGTAAGTAATCATGATAGATTTCTAAGAGCAAATATGAGAATTAAATTTCAATTGTGAGCTGGAATAATCCGATATTATTTAACATACAATAAAAATGTAATATAAACTAATGTTTTGGTAATACCTTAAATAATGCCAGTTACTTCACAGAGTTATATACTAATATATTACATTAATCACAATGACTCCAATATTATAATATTACATGCTATTTAATTTACTTAAGTTGAGGTCCTTCCTAGGCTATTGTTTTCTGGAGTATATGAGGACCTGATTTCCAAGTAGAGTTACATCCATGGGGCTGTCCCTCACAAGTTTCCAGACATATAATACATCTTCTATGTCTCTTCGGTACAAGGGGCAATTTGTATAATTTCATTTTGCCCCAACATTCTCATAGAAGAAGCAGATCTTTTTTTTTTTCAATTGTATTCATAAAAGTCCACAGAAGCAATAAGATCAGGATATTAAAGACCTAAGGAATATAGGCAGAGGTTGTACTGGGTGAAAATACCCCTTTGCAGAAGATAAGCAGAAGGTCTATTCAGAGGGCTTAAGTAGCATTTAAGTCATATACCAGCCTGCAGCTGGCTCCATGCTCAGAGATGAATTTCATCTACTCATGTCACTCTCTCTGTGGATGAAACTCTGGTTTCTCTCACAGCAAAATAGCAAGTGACAATATTTAGAGATTTTAGCCATAACACTTTGCTTTTAAAGTAAAGGTTTTGTAAGCTTCAGCTCATGAAAGAAAAAATAATATTTCTATATTGTACACTGCAGAGCATGAGTTTTATTAGCAAACATTACTGCCAGTAATTAAATTTCTTTTAAACTTTTCTTGAGCCCAACAGATTTGAAAACTCAAGATGAGAAAGGATGTTTATTTTTGACAGTTTAATCCCTGCTATCTTGCTGTTTTATTGCTGCGTGGTTCAGTATTTAAGTTGCTATGAGACACGAGTTCATCCTAGCATTGCTGTTTAAGTATCCAAGTACTTGACCAAAAAAATACATCTTATATGTAATTGATTAAGCATGGCCAGCCACAAGGTTACTTTAGACCAAAGTCAACCAGGCATCCATGATTGGTTTCCTCCACCAGGTAGATACACATAGCTGTCAAAATGGAAGAGAGGTCTTTGATGCAAGCTCAAATCAAGTTCCACACACAAACAGTGAAACTGAAGGGTGCGCTTGGATCACCCATTCCCATTACAGACAAAGGTATCCAGCACTAGATTGCACTGGGTCTATGTTATAAGTTACATGCTTAATTTTGTGACTATTCCTAGGAAACTAAACATAAAATACTGAGAAGGGGTAGAAGAATGAACAGAAATGGGGATGGCCAGGACGGTATGGAGGTTCATTGTCATTTCAGGCTACTTAAACTCAGTTTGTATTTAGAGAAGCTGGCTTTTACCTTTTAACCACAAGGACCTCACCTCTACAGTAAGTCAGACAAAGCTTTTCTCAACTTTTCTCAGTGGTAATAGAATGAAGAATCACTAGCAGAGGCCTCATGGTCCTGCAATGCATTACTGTTTTGGCAAGACAGTGTCTTGTGATAGGTCTGATAACAATGGAGAGGGCCAAGCAAATCAGTTAAGGATAGACTAGGAATGAATCACTTAGAAGGAAGAGTGATTCTATCTACTACCAAGCTATGTGAGACTGCCATGGTGGGAAATCTGCTATTTAATTGCACGTACCTGCACACTTCCAAACACCTCCATTTACTTAGGTAACCATACCATGATTTTGCACAGCTTAAGTGTATCAGATTCAGGGTTTTATTTTGTACAGATCAAGCTTACCTTAAATATATAAACACTTCATTTTAATATGTCTTAAAATACTGTAGGAATATAGCTGATTAGGTATGAAACAGGAATTCTGGCTTACACAGGTAGAAATGAAAGGAAGAACTTACAATTTTCATCTTGTGCAATGCACTGCAGAGGGATTCCAAAGAAAGATGTGTAGCTATCATTGTACCACACCAACAACTCGGTGCCCCTGGGGATATCTATACAAGCCCGGTAGAATATATTTGACCTAAATGGGAGAAAAAGAAAAAAAATGCCTAATTTAGGAATAGAGCATTCTCCTCTTATCACACACAGTATTACAGTAGAAATCCATTGTTTTGGTAGGATTTCTGCAGATAACTGAATGACTGACCTACCAATTATTTTAAAACCAAACCTATCATTAGGGAAGGACTTTGTTCCTGTAGCACTGGGTAACAAAGAGCTTACAGGCACTTTGTACCTAGCATATTTTAAACACAAAGATTTTACAAGCACCAAGATTTTATGAAAAGACAGATATTTTCTTGCAATGTCCCTTTTAAAGTGATTTTAGAAATGCTCTATTTTGCTCACACAGTACAAACATCAGTTGTGCGCACAGTTCAGTAAGTTCAGCAAGTTCAGCCATTTAAACAGCTTTGCATTCGTCATCTAAGCTAAAGTTAACATATTTTAAGGGTAAATAGACAACAGTTCTTTCATTTGAGCAAGTTCTTTTAGCAAGAGGTTTGAAATAGCATGACATGGTCTTTCATTACAGCAATATACCACCAAAAAGAGAGATACTGGATTGTTGAGTAAAAGAGACTTTGGCTTAGGGGAATAAAAAAATGGGGTTAATCTGAACATACAACCATAAAATCTCCCCCTGTATAGAACATGAGGGTAACATCAATGATCTTTCAGTAAGTATAAATTCGTGTTACCGTAAATGTCATATCTTATCACATCGCTCTGTGGGAAAAGACTGTGGATATTCCTACACCACTGAATTGGGAGTTGGGGGTGGGGGGTGGGGGGGAAATCCTAGAATCCCTAGCATCAAAAGCAAGAGCCTTATCCTGACCTTGCGCTGATGTAAATAGCTTCAGAGTGATGCTTCTACAGTTAACAGATTTACATGGGGGCAAAAACTGTGTAAGATTAGAATCAGGCACAAGATAAAATAAAAATGTTATCAGTTTGTAGTGGCTTTTCCCTTAGGCTTCACATGGAACAGTAAAACACACTCCTGTGAGATGGATAGAAATTCAATATATACAAGAAGAACACTCCACTCTCGCTGAAGGATTACATACCAAAATGATACAGTCAAAGTACCAAGAAATGACCATTTTTTATAACAGCTTATGTAAGGCAGAAAAACATCTATAGACCAAAAAAAAATGTTAGGCCTCAACCGGTTTTCTGAGTGAAGAATTGCTACAAACGTTAGCCTGAAGTTCAAGATAAAAGTGTTTAGGGTTGGTAGGCCTTAAATTTAGACTTTCTATAAAGAATTGGCTGTAGCGATGCAATTTGTTCCTTGTATAACACTGCAGACATAAGGAGAATCTTTTACCACATTTTTCATGGCAGTGAGATATGCACTTGTCAACATATTTTGTCACCGCAAAGTGGCTCTTGGCAACAGGATCATAAAGATCAATAAAAAAGTGCAGATTCTCAATATTTTACTAGCAGCTGCAAAAATTTCATTTATCTTGTTATTTTCCTCGCTTACTGCCACCCTGTCTCAGGAGGGCACTGCTAGCTAAGCAGAATGGTTTTCCTACCCTTCTATGAATATCTGACAAAAACTCTCCCCTTTGTGTCTCCTCTTCTCTTTCCCTCCTCCTCCTCCTCCTCTCCTCTTCTCCCTCTCTTTCTTCCCAGAGCTGAGCATTTCATTAATTCTTTCCACTGTTACATAAAAATGAAAATCGGAGCCATGCTATAAATTACCAGCATCTCCTAACTTGAGAAAAATTGAGTCTACTTTGTACTTCACCCTTGTAACATTTCATCTCTCAGTTTGGCTTCCCTTAACATAAACACAGCAGCCCGGCAAATGAATGTGCTAAAACCAAATGACACACTTTGCCGCTGAAAGAGCAGAACTGTTTTTGAGCAATGGGTGGTCTGTGAGGCTTGGAGTAGGCAGGGAAAAAAAAGTGTAAGCGTACACCGTCCCTTACAAGCGTGCAGAGCTTCCAAAACTCGCAGAAATCTCTGCATGCTGAAGTACATCAAAGGGATTTTTCCCTTTTCGGATAATATTTCCTTTGCTGACATGTATTTAGTATTGTGGTTGGATGACTCATAAAGATAGCTTCATGGCGTCCCAACGCAGTTGAAGCAGAACACATGCCAACAAACATTATTGTCAGCCTCAAAATAAAAACAAAACGTTCAGCTAAGGGTCAATCAATCAAGAGCACTTTGAAGAAAATTCCATTTAGATATTACAAATCATAACAGAATGAATTTAAACCAGCTGACTTTCTGTGAGGAGGACGTCCATGTACAATAAAAATTAGGCTGGTTTTTCAGTGTCCAACTTTTCTATTTTCTTACACTTGGACGCAGTCACTGGTGATGGATGCCAGTTTTTTAAATTGTGTTTTTGTAGTTCATTTTATAAAGATCTGAAGTAATCGAAAACAGATCAACAGAGTGAACTCTAAGTAAAAACTGCATCATGAAAGGAGAGTTGTAAAATCCACTTAATATTGACAGATGTGTAATGACTTTCTCATGCTTACTTTTCATTTAGGTTTGTCATCTATATATATATGTACGCATTTTTTTCCTTATTTTTATATATATATGCGTGCGCACACACCACCACACTGAGAAATAGTTCACAAGATACCTACAAAAATACCCTTTCATCACAGCAATCTTTATTCATTATCCAGTGTGTTTATTTAAAATCTGATGGGATTTTAGCTATAGATATCAGATATTTAAGGGTATAATAAAAGATTTGTAACATATAAATAGGATTGTTATTTTTTTAACTGTGGCATTATTTAGTCAACTGGCCAGAGAATAAAAAAGCTGAAAATGCAGTTGAACAATTTTACCATTGTTAAATTGGAACCCTATGGGGTAATCAAACTTTATATATCTTTCATTTTAGCTTGCTTTTGTATGTTTTATTTTTAATTTTAAAGGTACTTTAAATAAGTTTAAGATTCTTCCTAAAGAAAAGGAACTCCACTCTCTAAATCAACTAGCAAAAATCGGGATTGCTCACTGCAACTGGCAAGCCTGGGGCATTCTTTGATGTGCTTCCTACCACTTTTAATAAGGCCAAGCAGTTGCTTCTGATTCTGAGGCAAAAGGTTTGTTTATAGCTGAGATCATGTATTTATGTAACGCATTGTCTGCATTTTCTGGATCTGTTTGCAAGTAGAGAGTAAAATGCACCATAATTTCTTTACATTTTTCTTCACATTTTGACCTTCTCTAGCCAGTGACATAAGAGACACAAACACTAGCAAGCTTGGCTAGCAGGTGCACTCAACATACAAACTTTAGGCGTGTACGTCTCATGACTGACTCTCAGAAAGCCTTTGGGTTCAAAACTCTTCTCCTGCCATTTTTGCCCTTCCTCTCACACAGGCATCTTTATTAAGGGTGGAAGATCGCTTGCCTTGCCTTGCTTCTGACCAGACCACTCAAAAATGTGCAGACGGCTCTGTGCAGTGTGGTTGTTGCACAGGTGACTCAGGGCTGTACTTGTTCCCAGGAGCTCCAGGTCTAGCATGCTTACTTCAACGGCCTCAGCTCAGGGCAACCAAAGTCAAACCCATCCTCACCACACTCTGCAGCTTTTGTATTGCTCTGGATGAGCATGTTCACAAAAGCCCTGCTAGTGTCTTTGCAATTAAAGGCCATACTACTGGTGACAGTTACAGTCTGACTTTTCACTAAAAACATTTTCATTTTGTTGCATTGAGTAAATAAAAATGTACTTTACCTGTACTGAACCACTGTTAAGTTCTGCTCCCCGCAGTGCCTTGCACATCGGATATACCTCATCCAGCTTGACTTACTGGGTTCTCCACCATCAATAAAGTGCTGCAGTGTCCCATCTTGGTCATATATCTGGGGGAGATGTCACAAGGTCAAGTAGTTAGAACAAATCATCAGCAATCATTTTCACTGCTTTGCTGATGTCTCTCTGTGCCTTTTCCAGGAATTTATTGTCATGAGATTTGTCATTGCGTACTGATGCTCTTAGAAATCTACATGGAACAGCGGAAAAGTATTTTGGGGGATGCAAGTTTATCACGTTTCTTTTATCGAGCCAATCTTTTTGTATTAAACATATTTGTGGTGTCTCAAAGATGTGACCATGTTTCCCAAAGAATATTTAACCTATTTTGACAGGCTGGCCTTAAATAATGAACTGTCAGATAAACAAGAAAATCTGGATGTAAAGCCTGCATTGAAATCGTTGGAACATCTGAGCAAGGGGCAGTAGTAATCCCTAAACAAGTATCCCTTCCTTCACATCTCAGTTGCAGCAAGAGCATGTACTTCAGCAACCTCACATGATATATTAGGGAGTTGTAGGATTCATAATACCAAAACAAATGAGACTAGAAGGAAAAAGAGAGTTGAAGATGCCTTTAGAAGCTCCCTTGAGACATATAATTTTTTGAAGTAGTAAATGAGAAATCAGTCCTGAGGGAATCATGGTTTTCCTAAACAATGACATCCCTGCTAAGGACATGAGAGCCATGGTAGTTATATTAATGGTAATTTAAAATGGTAATTTTAAAAAAGACAGCATTATGTCTCTATTCGGCACTGGGTGCTCCCTCTGAAGTTGCAGAATAAAATTGCCCTAGAGGCTCTGAAAAGAAAAGATACATCTTTCATGCACACCTGCCCTTCTGACTGGTTAAAAAATGTTGTCTAGGAAGTGTTAATCCTAGTAAAAGCACATGGTCTTACAAGATTTTTACCTGTTATGCAATTATTTTGTTAAACTTCAGAAGTGCACCTGAACAATTAGGTGCTTATCTCAAGCAAACCTGATCTTCAGATAGGGGTAGGCTTTAATAATCCTACCCCAAAAATGAAAAATTGATGTCTTCTTGCAAGTACTAATTCTGCTAATTAAAGAGGAAGCACATTTATTACATTGAACATTTCTAGAGCAAGCAAATTAAAAATTTTGCATTTCTATTTCAATATCAAGAGAATAATCTCAGAAATTATGTGACTACATTCAATATTTCTGACTTATTCAAAAGGTGTTTCCTACAATGCACACAAAAACATACACAGGAATCAGAATCTAGTTCTTTACAACTTGAAACTCTCAAATTCAAGAGCCAGCATTGCTTTTCCTTTTGACCAAGAGGGACTGGGAGTAATCAGGAGCAATATATCCATTGCTAGAGCATGAGAGACAGGGAAATCAAGTGTCTGCAGAGATCCTTATCACTTGTTCCCAAGTGCCTGTGACAAGGACCACATAGAACCTGGCCAGATGCTCGTGGGTTGGAGGAGTGAGATGCTACCCTAACATGCACTGAGTGGTGGAATAAAGTCAGAGAAATCAGGAGTCCTCAGAGACAAACAAATACTCCAATACTGGGGATTTAGTTTATTTTTTATATATGGTAGCTTGTAGATTATCAGCAAGGACCTATTCTTATGTAAACATGTTAATGTATGTTGAACATATGAGCGAAATATGCTAAACAATAAAAATCTGCAATGGAAATGGAAAAGTTTTACAGGAAATCAGCCTACAAAAAGGAAGAGGAGGAAAAATTAATGACTAAGTGCTTGGCTGGGACCATTTTGGCAATATCTATCTAAACAGTCTCAGCACAGTGTTTATTACCTATTCGTTTACATGCCACTTACTAACATAACAATATATGGCTTAATGTGAGGCAAAAACAATTCCCATAAATAAAGAGCTGATAGCTTCATAATCCCCAGATGATAGGAAATTGGAAAGACAAAGATGACTGCCAGAATCGGTACTGACAGCCGTATCTGGACACACAGGGACCTACTTAGAACTTTGTGTATATGGACAGTCATGAGCTAACATGAGAAATTAAAACCTTCCATGAAAATACAGGACTGGAGCTTTCTCAGGCCTTGGCCTAGAGTAGGAAGAACTGCTCTACAAGCAGGACTAAATATTTTCAAATGCTTTATTTTTGCAAGTACTGATGCACCAGTCACATTATGCTCTCCTTTCCTGTTACTGACATCGCAAATTAAGCTGCATAGTCAGAATCCATCCCACAGCATTCTTAACCCTGTTCTTGCAGGAATGAAAACCCAGCTGTAAGAAAGCAGAAACCCTAACCTTAGAAGGGAAATAGAACAATGCATTGTATCTGTTTATTTGTCAAATTGCATAATGCACATTAAAATCTGAAAAAATTTAACTGATATGGTTGTTATTATTCATAATACTATTGTGCACCAGTTATTTATTTTACAATTGCCTAAATATGGCAACCACAATATAATTGCCTGAAGAAACCATTATGAGGGAGCAAACCATGACCTGCCATAACACAGGAAAAGCAAACTTGTAGTGCAAGTCTTGAACCCAGACGTTATAGCAAACTATATGGATATACATATTTGCCTGCATCTGTATTACATGTGCATATGTGCTTAAACACTCATAGTATGTATTAAAAAAACTACTGCAGAATCCTGTGATAAACTGATGTTACTGAAAATCTTTGAGTACCTCACTAGATCACTACATCCATCTACCCTGGCATAATTTTTAACACATTGCAAGACCTTCATGGCAAAGTAAAATAGCATTTTTCCAACTCCCTATGGAGAATGCATGTATTTTTTTCTGTATCTCACAATAATCATTGATCTAAATGATGGAAACAAATCTAATTATTTCATTTTTCTACTTTGATTACACTTAGAAGTGTTACCATAAACGGCTTACTGGATCTTTTCCCTCTTCTGATCCAAATTAATAGTTAACTGTTGGTTTTGCTGAGTTTTAAGGGGATTTTTGCTTTTGCTTTAAATGTTTCAAAGCTTTAAGACTTCTTTTTTCTGGTCTGTTCCCATTTTGAGGAATGCACCAGACTACTGGCAGTGATCGGAGTCTGACAAAAGAGGACTGCACTCCCTTTCTTATTTGACATGTCTTGTGTTCCTCCTTAGCTGTTCTCATATAATTAATTAACTTCTTAATAGGTTCCTGACTATTTATGGGTAGTTTACTGTTATGTTACTTATCAAGAGACTCAGAATGTGAAGCATATTATTATTCTACAAATTTCATCCTCTGACTTCAGAATACAATAGAAACAAACAGCTTCATTTTCCAAGAAAGTAAGTCCAAACTGTAACCAGCACAATTCAGGTCTTCTCTTTACCATTTTTTATATTCCTTTCCTCAAAACACCTGTTTACTCAGTAATCAAGACATAAATACAGAAAGGCATGGGGTATATAGTGAAATTTCTTAAAGGGTGCCACTGATATTCCTCATGACCTACACATGCATTCCAACTGGGAAATATGGGAAAAAGCAGGTAGGATGCCAATGTACTGATACTGGTCAGTTTCATCTTGTTAATGGCACGCAAATATAAATTAAGTATGGGGGACTGGATTTATTACTTGTTGGATTGGTTATTGATAATTATTCGGAGGCTGTAGATACTAAAACTTAGAATGACAATGATAATAGCAACACATAATGGCAATAATAATACCATTTCTAAAGCACACAGTGTCTCATATAAGTGATGCTTTAAAATCTGTGAGTGACCATTGCTAAGTAAAATAAACAGCAGTTGTTGGAACATTCGTCACCCTGGCAACATACCAAGCCTAGGTAGGACCATGTAAGATTTAAGTAATATTAACAGATAAGGCAGAACACTGAAGAGCATTCTGAGAATTCTCAGTTGCTTCAGTACTGACATAGTCAGTATTACACACTTGGTAGATGGGGGCAAATGTAATTCCACTGCTAAAGACTGTTCTGGTTTCTGGTATAGATGCCACAGAATTTTAGAATAAAGGAGCACAAACGTAATAGCACAACTGCAGAGAATGCCAAGCTATGAAGCAATTAAAAACAATTTCACAGAAGAGACAGGGAGAGCAAAAATGGTTAGTTCATTGGAGTTCTTTCCTCTATCTGTTGCTTTCCTTTGTTCTCTTTCCATGGCCTGTAAAGGATTGCATCTTTAGAAATTCTGCCTGCATTTTATTTTTCCACTTAGTCAAATAAAAAATGTATTAGCATACAATTTAATTGACACCTCATTTTCCTTGCAGGCAGAGGGAGAAAAGAGTGGTCCTAAAAGTGGAATTTTTCTCTGCATGTACATTTGTATTATAAAAGTAGCTATTAGAATAATTTTTTATGTTGCAAAACATCAAAAGAGATAGGAAGAAAACCACAAAACATGCAAGAATTAATTCTTACCATTAGTAGAGAATCTTGTTTTTTGCTGTTCACTGCTATTGTCATTGACATCAAATGCATAAGGTCACAGGATTTTCAAATAACTCAGCATTAGCCTTCTCCTCCCACAAGAAGTTCTACCCTTGACTTCAGTGGGAAGAGTCAAGATAGCAAGGAGTACTTTTGATGAGTACGTACATTTTATAAATCATCTGCCATGCATTTAAAACCATGGATGTAGTCTAGTCTACTGAAAATACAGAGGAAAAGGTTCTAACAGTCTGATGAAACAGACTGACATGTCAGATATGGTAACATCCGTACAAGTTATATTCCCTCTATAACAACGTATGAACCTACAAGCCACAGCAACACTGAAAGTTTCTTCCTTCGCTGGCTTGGATATCAGAACTGAATTTTCTCTACATTAGGCAAATCTCAGTACTGTGAGACCTTGCCTTTGACATAACAACACTACAACATCCTCTGTGGGTGACTGTATCCTAAACAGAAGTTGAAAACAATGCCAAAAAGAGCAACATGTATAAGCCTGGGTACTTAGCTGACAGTCTGTAAAAAGTGTGCAATTATGGAAGATTACATTCTGAGCCTGGACCTGTAAAGCCTATTCTTGACGCTAGAGAGAGCAGCCCTGCCTGTGTCCCTT